TGTGTATTTGTGTAAATACATACATTTTTACACACATTGACACACACACATACACTCACACATACACTCACACATACACTCACACATATACGCACACACACGCCTACACACATATACACTCTCACACACAAACATACAATCACACATACACTTACACACACACACTCACACATACACGCACACACACACACACACACGGGCAAGCGTAAATATATTTGTTCTGCTAAAGAAGCACAGTTGTGTTTTCACCACAGACGTCTATATTGTAAAGGCACATTATATAGATATAGTTTTCAGCCAGAAAAATCTCAACACGAGCTATTAAGTGATTAACGAGGTGGTATTTCCACTTCCCAGTTAGATGAGCAAACTAATTAGATTAAATTGAAAGGATAAATAAAAGAAAAGAGTTGAATTTTTTTTAAATTTTCGACCCTAGGGCAGATTCTCGATCTAATTAAATGTGACGAGTTGTCTGTCTGTCACTATTAATATTTTTCCAATTGCAGAAAAATGTGTTTCTTTTACATTTGTATCTCTCATCTGAAAACGTTTCAATAAATTTTGAGAAAAATTTTTTTAAATTTATTTTTTTTGGACCAATATCATCAACTGATGTGAACATGACTAAAATGACTTTGCATAATTAAATTAATCTGAATTCAACTATCCAATTGACCAGTTTATTTTCACATAATTATAAAATTTATTCATTATTTAAAAAAAAAATCTCTTTACAACTTTCTATTTTTTTACTCTACTGCAACTCGTGTGCTGGTTTTATTTCTCTCTCCAGATACTACAAATTATTACAAGATCTTAAGTGAGTAAGAGTTGCTGCTGTATATGTGTGTTGTGTTGTATGTGTGTTAGTTTGTGTTTGTGGGCGTGTAAAATGAAAAATAAATTCAATGATAGATAGATAAATAAATATCACCGACAACCTAGTTAAAAAACAAACACATTTTAGGCAAAGAAAAGAGAAAAAGATTATTTTCCTATTAAAAAAAAACATTTTTTTTTAATTTCAAAAAATTTCAAAAAATTTGAAAACAAAGAGAGTATAAAAAGTATAATTTGGTAATTTGATAAAAGTATTTTGAATCGACCTTTGCATTTGGTCATCCTTGAGCATTTCTGAACACATGCTCGATATACTTTTTAAATGGGACGCTAATGTAGTGTGGTGAAATTATTAAAATCCAGTAAAACTCAGTTTTAATCAAAAGGTCACTAGCCTAATTCTAGCGCCACTAGTACAAATTTGGTCACTTTCATGGGCCCCCGTCAAATTTGATCACCCCCTCGGTGAAAGTTGTCTAGTTCTACCTCTGTTTGTTATTATTATTGTTGTGATTGCTACCATTATTATTATTGTTGTTGTTTTTATATTTTATTATTATTTCACCATATCCCAATTATTTTTACTTTTATTATTTCGTTACATTCAAAGAATATTAATCCTTAATGTGAACACAATAACAACAAAAAGACAACAACAATAATAATAATAAAATTACTGCTATTGATAACATCAATGACAATAATGAAACAAAAAAAACGTGTATAATATTGTGATTTGTTCAGTTAGTTATATTAAGTATCTCATCAATCGTCACTGAATTTGCTCAATTTTATCTTCGCCGTACACACGTTCGCATCAGCCGATCTTACAACTTTTTTCAAGAAACCCAACCCGAATAGAAAATAATAATAAATATTATAATAATAAATAACAAAATAATAAATAATAATAATAATGATAACGAAAGTTGTGTAATAAACAGATTGTTAAAAATCATTTACGTAAACAAATTAATGCATTAACTGTATAAAAACTCATGTATACACTGTATACACACAGAGACACACACACACGTACACACACACACACACACACACACACACACACACACACACACACACACACACAAATGAAAACATAACACATATGCAACGTATACAATACCTAGCACATAACCAGTAACAGACACGTTGACGATTGAATGAATGGATGGATGGAGAGATATATGGATAGATGTCTGAGTGAATGCGTGAATGGATATCTGGATGAATGAATGGATGGATGGAGGGATATATAGATGAATGTCTAAGTGAATGTATGCATGAATGGATATCTGGATGAATGAATGGATGGATGGATGGATAAATAGATAATTACGTTGGATATAAATACGTCCGGGTATTTTACAATCTTCACAATAAATGTACACACAAAAGCGTATATTTATGAACATTTATGCAGATTCATTCACACTTTATTACTGACCCGGGCCGAGCATGGGATTCGTACCTTTCTCTGATGCGTACGATTTGACTAGCAGGTTTCGCCAGAGGAATCAACATTCCCATATAAACATACGATTGAATATTAACGCACTCACGTTCCAAAAACAAAATCTCTCAAAACACGCCGGCCAACAAAAGCACGTATTTAGTAGAAATTTACAGACAAACCACACCCACATACGAAATCAGATACACACACACACACCCACATACGAAATCAGATACACACACACACACACACATACAAACATGCAGGAATACAAGCACAGATCTTCAAAAACGCACGCACAAGAACGCACACAGAACAGCAAAAACACGCACGTAAATTAGACAACGTGCCCCGAAATGCTTACTCTCGTTAAGAGAAATATGTACGCCTGCATTACATATGTACGCTTTTTGCAGTCGTGTGTGTGTGTATGTGCGTGTGTGTGTCTGTGTGTGCTTGTGTGTGTCTGTGTCACTGTGTGTCACTGCTTGTGTGTGTCACTGTGCGTTACATTCCAAGTTTAATGTATGCATATATCCTACGTACGTACGTCTACGTACAGGCTTGAATTTAAATGTGTGCGTACGTGTATGCGTGCGATTGTATGCATTTGTGAGTCTGTTGACTCGGATGTGGATATATACAGATGCGTATGGACGGACACGGACGCAAATAATAAAGTGTATGTGCAGATAAAATAGGATGTGAGTATGTGTATTTCTATGTCTGTGTTTATGTTCCTGTACAGTAAACTACACGTGTATATGGTAGGTCTGTGCTTATAAATCGATCTTAAATTTGTAAATATGTATGCAAGAAAATACTTTTTAGTTTTGGTATATATCTTTTTTGTCGCTTCATATCAAGGAGGCAAGAAAAAAATGATAACAACGTCAACAGCAATAACTTAAAGAAATTGATGCAATTAATTAACATCATAGACTAAATTGCTAGAATTGGAAAAGTGAAAATGTATGACATTTAATTATATTCAATTCCATTTAATCAAATTTAACGATATTATTGCGGCTTTTAGTGATGTAGATGTGAGGCAATTTTTTGAAAGCCTTAATATTGTAACCGGATCCATTGGTGACGTATCGACCAGAAGAACAGTGATTTCGGTGATACTAATTTCACCATTGACACTAACAGTCTTGCCATCAATCTCAATATTGTCCTTGCAGAAGTTAAGTAGTTACTGCTGAAAAAAATCATTTTAAAAATCTGACTGATCGTATTTTTTGCAATTTCATCAAAATTATTAAAAGTATTTTGTAACCCAGATTCCAAAACTTCGAACTGTTACACTGGAACTTGAAAAAAATAATTTTTCAACATATTGGTTGACGTGTTTTTAAACTACACACACACGCATAGATATGGAATTTTAGGCTTCTAACTTCCTAACGTGTGTTTTCACCGTGTTTTTCTCGTTGTAAGATGTGGATTGAAGACAAGGATTCATCAACTGACCATTTAATATTGACTGTAGGTATTTCTATTTATTAATGATTACACAAATGCTTCAGGTTAGAGTTAGCTAGTGCTAGCTGTCACAAAGTTAACAATGAATGCCCAACATATTAGTAAACCCTATGACGTTTGGCTTTTTGTTATAAAAAATATAAACTCTTCAGTGTAGTGTTTTTTAACATATTTAATAATGTATACAATACAAAATGTAGTAAGTACAAAATGATACAATAAATGTGTGCATCGTTCATATTAATGAATGAAACTTCGAGTAAAAAAAACTCGATTAAGGTATATTTTAAACAGGTCAACACAATACATGTTACAAAATAATAATAATAATGATAAAAATAGCCAACAAAATAATAATAATAATAATGAAAATAGCCAACAAAATAATAATAATAATGATTATGTTATGAAGTTGTTTTCGTTTTCCTTAACAAGAAATAAAAACTAGATATCTTGCGGCACATGATGATAAGTTGAGGTGATCTTTCCCATTAAAAAGTTGAAGACTGTCGTTTTTTTCTGCCTTATGTATGTGTATTTGTGAGTATGTGTGTATCTGTGCATGTGTGTATCTGTGTGCATGTGTGTGTTTGTGTGTGTGTGTGTTTGTTTATTATGCCCACTTATATTGTCTATAAATGTTGAAATAATTTATGTATGTGTGCATGTATGTATATGAGTGCATACTATTATGTATGTACTGGTGTGTGTGTGTGTATGTGTCTCTGTGTGTATGTGTGTGTGTGTGTGTGTGTGTGTGTGTGTGTGTGTCTGTCTGTACATGCAGTCGCACTTGTATGAATATGAATCGTACATAAATTCCGCAAACTAAGACAAACGAGAAGGTAGTTATATAAGTTTGAAAAGGAAGAACAAGGACAAAGGATGGAGTGATTAAATATTAAACCGAGAAGAAAGACAAATTGAAGAGATGTGTAGAAGTTTAAAAAGAAACTGGGAATGGTGAGAGAGAGAAAAAAGAGAGAGAGAAAAGAAAGAGAGTCAAATAAAAATAAAAATGGAAAGAGAGAGAAAAATAGCAAGTCTAAAAACTCAAAAAGAAATGGATGGGGAAATAATTCCTTGAAAGTTATGCGTAAGGGAGTAATAATAAAAAAAATAAACACATACGCGCAAAAAGTCGCAAAATAGAAAAAAAATAGTACAAAAAGGATTGAAGAAAAAAAAACGAAAACATGGAAAAATAAAAAAAATGGAAGAAGTTGAAGATGAAAGTGGAACAAGGATGCTGGTAAGAAAGCTTTTTGTATGAGAGTTGCGAGATGTTTTAGTACTTCGCCGTGCATCACTTTATAAAGTTGTGTCGGGGTTGTTGTTGTTATTGCTGTTGCTGCTGCTGCTGCTGTTGTTGTTGGAGTAGGATGCATTCCTTTGAGTTGAGTTGAGTGTAGTGTTGATGCTATAATTTATTGTATTTTTCATTCATTCGTTCGTTTATTCTTTCATTTATTCTTTTACTCATTTTTTTCATTAATTCATTCGTTTTTTAATTCCATTCTTTTCAAAGCGTTTTATGTTTGTCATTTCATTGTTGCCATTTGATGTCTACCTTGATGTTTCGACCACTTACGATGTTTTCTTCTGTTGCCATTAGTGTTGAGATAAAAATACAAAACTATTTATTCTCGCAGCAAACATCTCTGCCGCTGTATCTGCAAATTTTATTTTCATTATTTTTATTATTGTAAATATTTACGTCAATGCCACTTATATATATATATATATATATATATATACTTATATATATATATATATATATATATATATATATATACATATATATAAATCATGACAACAGTTATTGTTATAATTACTTCATTTCTTGATGATATTTTTCAGATAACAATAATGAGAAAACAGTGCAGAAAGACAGAGACAGACAGACAGAGAGACCGACAGACAATGAGACAGACAGACAGACAAATAGGTAGAGAGGTAGAAAAATGATTTACATCCATATACACAAAAATACACACGTGGGTTGGTTCCCTCTGATGTTTACAAGGACACATCGTTGGATGTGTTATTTATCTTACTGTTTAATGACTTAATTATGGTTTTCAATCATTTACGAAATATTCATAAAAATATATATTTGTATAGGTTTGTCTGCGTGTGCGTATCAGTCAGTGTTTGTGTGTGTGTGTTGTGTGTTTGTGTGTGTGTGTGTGTGGTGTGTGTGGTGTGTGTGAGTATAATCTTAAATAATAAAACATTAAAATTATGCCCACATAGCATAGATTTTTTGATACTTTATACCTTTATACAGACAAAAAAAATACACATACCTAGGTAAACACATACATTCATAAGCATACATACATAAACTACATAAACATACATACATAAACATAGGTAAATACACAAACATACCATGTATCTCCAAAATAATAAATATGTACGGAATTGGACTTGTAGTTCTGTCACGTAATTGTTTGATATATCCTCAAACCCAAATGCTAATTGATTAGACTGTAGGTAATTAATTTTATACGCTCCTGTTATTCCGCAATACACAACCGCATTTCAAATACCAAAGGCATCATGGATGCCTTGTATTATCTTGTATTAAGCTGTTATCTAGAATTCCATGCCAACGCATGGATAAACTACATTCGCTCACACGTTTGTTTAACTAATTTTATTAATAATACTAGATTTTTTTCAAAATAATTAACAAATTATTGATCATTTTAATTTGATTATTCTAGATTTTTTTTATTTTTTTTTATTGAAATTTATACTGCAGTCTCAACAACAACAACAACAACAACATACTAGCTTCTTGAAACGCCGACAAACATTGTATTAAAAAATAAAAAATAATTCAACTTCGCATGAGCAGTTTTAACGTTTAACATCTTTTACAGTAACAGTAAAAAATAAAGTGCCAGAGTGAAAATTTCCAAAAGATACACATCTACCTCACATCTTCTTTGGCAGTTTGAAATATTTTTCATCTATGAAGTAACGGATAAAAACAACGACACAGCAACAACAAAAAACTAACACAACAACCAACCAACAACATAGACAACCACGACACAACAAAAAACTAACGTAACAACAACCAACCAACAACAACACAGACAACAACACACACATTACAAATCCCACATAAAACACCACACAGGTGCCACAAACCAGATCGGAGTAGCTCTGACGAGACTCTGTCTCCGTCATCGGAACATCGAGAAGAAACTCGACACCGTCACACAGTAAAACTTTATTAAATAAATTTGCATACGCTAGGCCTTGCACACACGCACATACACACACATACACGCACACACACACGCACGCACACACGCACGCACATACACATACTCACACACACACACACACAATGATAATAACAAATACTACAGGACATTCGGCAGTTGTTTCGTTCTACCAATAGACTCCAGACTAGATGAGTGGAAGAAGGTAGTGCTTCAAATCGAAAAAGAACATTCTAGAGGTGATAATGATAATGATGTTTATGATGATGATGTTTATGATGATGATGTTTATGATGATGATGTTTATGATGATGATGTTTATGATGATGATGTTTATGATGATGATGATGTTTATGATGATGATGTTTATGATGATGATGTTTATGATGATGATGTTTATGATGATGATGTTTATGATGATGATGTTTATGATGATGATGATGTTTATGATGATGATGTTTATGATGATGATGTTTATGATGATGATGTTTATGATGATGATGTTTATGATGATGATGTTTATGATGATGATGTTCTTAGCTTGGGGGTGATGACGATGATGATAGCGATATTAATATTAGCATTATATTAGTGATGATTGTGATGGCTAAAATGTTGGTAGTGGTGATGATGATATGACGGTCCTGATAATGATAACGTTGATGATAATGATAACGACTTTGATGGTGATATGGCTGTGACGTAATTATGAGATGCCCATTTTTAGTAAATTGTAGATCACCTAATCAGCATGAATGTATCTAGTCACATATATCACTGATATATGATACACTGATATATGTAAAATTATATCATGTAATCATTCTTATAAATAAATGATGGTGCCCACTGTTCATGTTATTTCTGATGTTAATCACATTTACGATGATGAAGAACGCATCAGTTAAGTCTGAAACGTAGCAGTATTTTTTGCAAGAGTAATTATTCTGAGACGAAAACAAAATGAATGATTGAATGAATGAATGTGTGAGTGAATGAATGAATGAATGAGTGAGTGAATAAATGAATGAATGAATGAATGAATGAATGAATGAATGAATGAATGAATGAATGAATGAATGAATGAACGAACGAACGAACGAACGAACGAACGAACGAACGAACGAACGAATGAATGAATGAATGAACGACTGAACGAATGAACGAATGAACGAATGAATGAATGAATGAATGGATGAATGAAATAACAACAGCAATAATAATAATAATAACCAAGAAATATAATTATTTTGTAATCAACCTGTCAAATATGTAGCTACATTATTATTATAGTTACGAAGCTTTCCTCTGAGCAAATACGAAAACCATCTTTTCTTCATTTCCACGTGACTTGCTTGTTTTTCAGTTTTGATCCTAGACGAAATTCATTTATGATGATATAACATCATTGTTGCCATTCTCTCTCTTTTTTCTCTCTTTTGTGGTGAGAGGCTGCTTGGTTGATTGTTTCGTTGTTTGAGAGAGAGAGAGAGAGAGAAGAGAGAGAGAGAGAGAGGGAGAGAGAGAGAGAACGAGCAAGAGACAATATAGTTGTTTTTAAAAGAAACCAACATACCAACACCACACCAACAATGTGTAATATGGCCAATTGGCCACATTGAAACAAAAAATAAACAAATGAACAAAAAATAGACAAGCCACTCGCTCTGCAATTTAAAATTTTTTCTCTTTCAAAATTGTGTAATAACGTTTAAAGCTGTTTATCTGTTTGTTTTTTCTAAACCCATGAAATAAGTTCTCTGTTTTACTTGCGTCAGTCAGTAACGTATTACTGGAATAAAGATCCATTTTATATCATGACACTAACAACACGACTACGATAAAAATTAATGTTACTCTCACGACAACATCAACATCCATGTTACTTCTATTTACTTACATTAATGTTACTTCTATGTCATCAACAGTCATGACAGCTGTTAATGTAATTACTACTTTGAATGTTACGCATTTAGAGTCGAAGAAAGCAGCCAGAGATTACAAAAGAGTCTCTACACTGGCCAGCAAGCTCGAGAAGAAAAATAAAAAAGGTGAAATGAAGAAATTTGTAAAAAGGAATTTTTGAAGTTTAAAATAAATAAAAAAATAAATATATAAAAATATAAATAATAAACATATAAACAAGTAAATTAATACATTTTTAAATATACATCGTCATCGTGATTGTCTACATCACCATCACAATCACCAACGACATAATCATCACCATCATCACAATTAACAACAACGTAATCATCACCATCATCACAATTAACAACAACGTAATCATCACCATCATCACAATTAACAACAACGTAATCATCACCCACATCATCGCCATCACCATAATCATCTTCTTCCTCTTCATCATCAGATGCTCAGCAGCTGAAAGAGTTGGAGCAGCTTCAGCTGGACCGCAGAGAAAAGTTAGTGTCTATGGAGGCTGTTGAGAAGACGTGCGCGAGGAGTGCACTGTTGGAAGAAAGAAAGAGGCATTGCCACGTCATTGAAGCTATCAAGCCCTTTGTGGTGAGAGGTTGATTGATTGGTTGGTTGGTTGGTTAGTTAGTTGATTGGTTGGTTAGTTGGTTGATTGGTTAATTGGTTGGTTAGTTGGTTCATTGGTTGGTAAGTTAATTGATTGGTTAATTGGTTGGTTGAGTGATTGGTTGGTTGGTTAGTTGATTGATTGGTTGGTTAGTTGATTGTCTGTAAATAGTATAAAATTGTTCCATATAGGCTGGTTAGTTGGTTGGTTGGTGGATTGGCTGGCTAATGTTGACTGGCTAGTTTGTTGGTTGGATGGCTGATTGTTTGCCACATAAATTTTCAAGTTTCAATCATGCATTAGTCAATCCACAGTCATATTTGGGATAATATTTCCTCTCCTAGTGACCACAACTTTGTTATAAAACTTCACAAAATCTGCCACAACCAAAAAGGAAGCCGAGATTTCCTTGTTATCAGACCTCGTACACCTCGAAGAAATAATGTCCAACTTGGTCAGCCAATCACACGATGCCCACATTCTGCCAACCAATAGCGAGCAGGTCATACTCGACATCACCAATCAGACCGTACCCGAGGGCTGGAGTTGTCAGGTTTTACATAATGACCACTTTATTATAATGTTAAAATTATAGTTATAATTTTACGTAATTATATTTTGGTTGAGATAACTTATTTGAGGCTAGCAAACAAAACAAATTAACATTAAATGAGCAATTAAATAAATTATCTAATTTATATATTAATTTATGCAATTATTTGATTGAAAAAATAATTAATTTTAATTGGTTAATTAATATTAATTAATTTAATTAATATTTCAAAACTTGCGGTGTGAACAGCCCCTCATAGGCTTCCCAATACCATCCGACAGTCTGCTGAGTCTGTCGAGCGCTTTCTCCGGCATTTCTTCAAGGGATTCTGTTATTTCCGATAGTGATTCCTATGTTAGTATTTGACTTTTTAATGCATTCCTTCACATTTCGTAACGATTTTTATGTTATTATTTATTTGAAGACATCTATATCGGTGCCATACGCATTGCGTTAGGCCTAACTGAAAACATTACATCTTACCACACCCCACCACCACCACTACAGGCTCCCTCCTACCCACTCAACGTCTCTCTCTCTTCTCTACCGGCATCTCTCTTAAGGTCCCAGAGGGCTGGTGGAGGTTCGGTGCCCCCTTCGGATCGAAGACCCCCGTTGTACCGACAATCCATGTACAACCCTTCTTTTGTTCCGCCGGCGTCACTGATGACGTCATCGCAGAGCGGACTCAGCTACTCGCAGCAGCCGCAACAGCATTTGGTTGGAGGAAATGTTTTTTTCGTTATAGTATTTGTTGAGAAAATTTGTGATGTAGATATAAAATGCCATTGAATTAATTTATTGCTGGCCACGTGGCACGTGTGAATGGCAGTCATTTGGATGTTTACACTTGTTCGTTCTATTTGCGATGAATTAATTAACTGTTCAACTGAGCTCACTTCATTATTTATCTCATGGATGAAAACGACAAAGGGATGAAAATTCTAACGTAAACAACAAAAACAACATTAGAAAAAAAACAACACTAACAACAACAACAACACTAACAACAACAACACCAACAACAACCTTATAAACTACAACACAACCAATAACAAACCATCTCCTCAGCCATCAGCCAGCGTGCCTTCCACCCCCGAAGCCAAACAGATGGACCAACAAAAACACAAACACCAATCGAACCATCCACTCAACCAAATCAACATCAACAACCGAGCCAAACCACCGCAACCAACATCGTCGTCATCCTCCAACAAACAAACCGGAAATGACGCAAACAATGACGTCACCAGCAACCTGCCGCCATCATATTTACGTCGTAAGGGAAGCTTCGGTCGTTCGATGCAATCGCCTGCCAATTCTCTGCCACCAACGTCACCGGCCATTGGTCAGAATGTTAACCAATGGGAGAGCAGTGATTCAAAAAGGCCTCAGTCATTGGCTGTCTCTAATAAGTGCTGGGGCTCAGATAGACTGGCCTGCAACTTAGCTCCTCCTCTCACCACGTCGTCGTTGTCATCTTCATCAACGCTGAAGGACGATGATGATGACGTCGATTTCGAGGCAAAAAATGTTATAAGAAATAATTACATTAATGATAATAATAACATCAATAATAATAACTATAATAATAATAATAATAATTTTGTTGAGAATATTGATGACTACAACAACTACACTATCAAAAATGCTGACAGCAACGACAACAACACGAGTGACAGCAACAACAACAACAGCAGTGACAGCAACTCTCTGAGCGATAATAGCAGTCTCGATCAAAACAGTTGCATAGAAATAAAATTGAATTGTACGAACAGTTTTAGTGATAACAATAACGACAACAATAATAACAATAATAACAATAACAATACTGATGATGATGATATTGGTGATAATTTTTTAAACGATGATGACGTGGAGAACGGTACATTGAAATTCAAACGTGACAATGACGTCATCGCAGCTACGGACGTCAACAACATCAATAACAACAGTGTTGATGACATCAACAGTTGTAGCAACGCCAACGCAGCTTACAATTGCAGCAACAACATCACCACAACCAACAACAACAATTCTATCTCAGTGCCTCACTCGCTTCCACAGCAAACAACCCAACAACTGCAATTCGATAACAATCATTATCAACAGTTTCAACTACAAAAACAGCAACAACAATTGAAACAAACACCGCAAAAAATCTCTATTTTTTCTGGTAAAAAGTTGTCTCCCAGTCATATCAACAACAACAACAACAACAACAACAACAACAACAACAGCGTCACAACAAATTCAAAATCGCAACACGAATACGCGGAACCCGATTTATCAGCCAACAAAAATGGCCAACAACACGTTCTACACGGCAACAACCACAACAAAGCAACTACCAAAAACAATGTTGGGCCAACATCGACAACAACTCCTCAACACATCAACTATGTTGATTTTCACTGCCTCCCACCGTCCGTTCGTATCAGCGAAATCAACAAACACGAAATTTACAACAAAAATCTCAACCCCAACATTAACATCGGAACCTCTAGCAACAACAACAACAACAACAACGTCACTGGCAATCACATTAATGTCAGTAGCAGAAAGCCATCAGGAACCTCACCACAACCTCTCAAACAACTACATCTTGTCAGTAAGAAGAATGGATGGTGTACCAATCAGCAACAGCAATCGCAACAACATCCTCAACAAAAACACCTTCAACAACAGCAACAGATACAAGTATTACAATCAGGATTTTATAATCAGCAACCATACCAACAAAAATTGGTGTGCTCTCCAAATATGCAACAAAAACGTCAACAACAACTTCAAAATCAACAACAACAACAACAACAACATCAACAGCAGCAAAGTAAAACAACAATTCTACTGAAATCTTCTCAACACAAACAAATATCACCTCAACACCACATCTACCAACATCATCATCATCAGCAGCAGCAACAACAGCACAACAACTCAACAAACCAACAAAATATTCAACAACAGTATCTCCTTTCTCCGCAACAACATCAAAAACAACAACATTCTCCTCTTCAACACAAACTCTACCAACAAGCGCAACATCAGCTCCATCAACTACAACAACAACACCAGCATCGACAACAGCAGCAGCAACCTAACAGATCACCCAGACAGTCGCCAGCGTCAAGGAAGTTACTACCCCCACCACCACCTCTGCCGACATCTCCTTCAAAATTGAAGCAGCAGCAACAGCAACAACAACAACAATTGTTGCAACAACAACAACAACATTGTCCTCATCAACAACAACATCAGCAACAATACTTCCAACAACAAAACATTGATTGCCCTTGGGACATGAGACCTCAGGAACAACAACAACAACAACAACAACAACAACAACATGTCAACCAAAATAACAATTACCCACAACAATTCTTATCCGTCGCAACATACGGCAGTAATAGTAGTAGTTGTGTTGTTGGCGGGCGTAATGATGATGATGTTTGCGTTGGGAACGATGGAACACTACCGAAGGGTTTTGTCAAACATTGGGAGAACACAGTGTGACTAAGTGAAATGACATTAACGTTGGTATCATTGTCTAAATGAATTGATGTCATTATCTAAACGACTCGAAGTCTTCATCCGTATGAATTATCTACAGATATTTTATTTCGTTAAAACGTTAAATTGGAAATCTAATTGTAAACTAGTTTATGTACAACTAGTTTATGTAAAATTTTTGGTTTATTCTGATTATATATGTGTGTGTATTAAACTATGATTATTTTAACATATGTATAAAAATATATATTTGTATATAATTTGAATTATATTATTTATAATATGATAATAATATCATTTTTTAATTCATATTAAAATACTAAAATGCTAAAGAGTTATTATGATTTTATGATAATGAAAAATGACAGCCCCGGCCAAAATCGTTGACAGTATTGAAAAAAAGTAATATTGTTTGAAAAATATTTGTGACCACTGTTTTAAAAATGTATTTATATTATTTATATTATATTATTCTTTTAATTATGATCATAATTTATATTTTTATGAATTTTTTTTAACTTTTTCTCATATTTTTTCTAACTTTTAGTGACTTTCTTCCTTTTTCTTTAAAATCGTTTCGTCTTTTTTAGTATTTCCTGATATTTTTTAGCGCCAAAATTTTATGTCTGCCTTTAAAAAACCATTAAATATTATAGTAAAAATTCTTACTTGATTACTATTATATAGCTTTGACACATTTTAATATTAATCCATTTATTTATTTATCCATTGTTACTAATAATTCTAACTAATTTTATTTTATTAATTTTTTTCCAAATAAAATTTTAGCTAAATTTTTTTAAATCTTTTACTAAAATTTAAAAATCAATTAGTGGCCGTTTTTTAGCGCCTAATTTGGTCGTGGTGTTCATGAATATATAAACATAGGGATGACATCATGCTGATGCTACATTTTAAGATGTCAAATAGTAAGTTATTAAAACAAGATTTTGCTTTAATGATGACTTTTGAAAAGAAATTGTCGTAACTTAACGAGTTTTTTTTCAAATGTGCTGGTTTGAATATAGTTAGGGATGAGTAATGTAGCAGAGATATTTGCCTCATTTCAATTTTTATAAAAAATTTTCTTAATTATATTTTTCATAAATCCATATAAATTATCTTCAATTATTTTTCAATTATTTATTGTTTTGTATTTTCATTGTTATTATTAATTAATTGAATTTTAAGTTAATTCTCATTTATTCGCTAAACGATTTTGTTAGAACGATATTAAGTTACCCTTGCAAACATGAAAAAACTTTGTTACTGAATTTTTTATGTTCAGAAATTTTTTCAGTTAAATAATGTTAAAATATTGTTTGATGGTTGTTTTTTGCTGTGTTTGTGTGTGTGTGAGCGTTTGAATTAATACAATAGATTACAGTTTATTGTTTTGGGATTTGAATATAAAAATTTGTTGAATTATGAATTATATAATAACATGAGTACTGCTAGAAATTATTTTCTAGACATTTTAAGATGTTATCATCCTTAATAGTCAGTTTTGAGTTTTTTGAAAAGTTCGTTTTATTTATTATTTCGTTTCTGCTTTCATCGTTTGAGCTAGCTGTCGTTATTTGATGAATAAATTTATGAATTGTGAAAAAAAAAATATTTCAGCGGGAGGTTTATAACTTTTTCAAAATTAAAATTCCTTTTTGAAAGAATGATTTGTCGAATTGTAGAGTTATCGAACACAATATTATGGTTAGGTTTTTCTTAGTTAACGACAGGTTTGTATGTAATACGTTTGTATCCTTGTATTGTATCTAAAACGTTTGTATCCTAAATATTGGAATCTTAAATGTTTTTAAATTAAATTTGCCAACTTTTTCTAAGAGAATTCTGGGAAAAATAGATTAAGAACTATAAATAAAGATAAACGAACGATTGCAAGTGAAATAATGATACTAAAAATATCTTGTTCGATAGTGAGATATGAGACAGAAAATAACAGAGAAAGGTTATTTAATGCTACACTCTGAAGAATCAGAAGTAAGTAAGAGAGAGAGAGAGAGAGAGAGAGAGAGAGAGAGAGAGAGAGAGAGAGAGAGAGAGAGAGATAAGGAGCTAAGAACCAAAACACATGAAAAGAAGAAAAAAAAACAGAGATGGAGAATTGAACCAACGGTCTGTAACTACGAAAAAGCATTTGAATTCTTACTGGAAAAAAACAAAACTCCAAATGTGACCTTCAAAATTTACAATAACTTTTGAAACATTTATTAGTTAAAATAATATAAAAAAAACTAAATGAAAAATCATTAAATTAATTTATTTTCTCATTTAAAAATATTTAAAAAACTTAAAATGATCAGAAAAATTGTTTTACGAGATAAACTGTTAATTCCGTATATACAAGATGTCAAATAAAATACTGTTTGATATAAGGCTGGTATTAATGTATCAAAAACTATCAAATAATACCAACAACAGTTTAATTACCGACAAAATATTATTAATTATGTTATATTTCTATATTTATACATATGCAAGGCCGTACGTACGTCTTTTAACACTGTTCTAGGCAATAATAATTATTATAATTATTTCGAAGTTAAAATAAAAAAATGTATAAATAAGTATTCGCAACATTTAAATAGATTTCAAAGGCATGATTTAAATCGTAGCTACTAACATTTTTAATATGTACATTTATAAATAAACGAATAAATAAATTAATTTGTTTATTTATGTATATATTTATCAATTAATTTTTATAAAAACACTTGTAGGTGTTATATTTTTTTACATATGTGATAAGATATTTAATTTGACATTTATAAGGCTAACAACAGATGTGACAAGAGATGATTTAATAATTGTTGAAAATTTAAAAATCCAAAATAAGGTAGAAATCATTTAATCAGTCACACGTTATCAACTTTTTGTGATTGTAATATGTCCTTTGATATCTTAACTCATTCAATCAATCAATCATAAATTAATCAATCAATCAAATATTTATTCATTCAATCAGTTCATCAATCAATCAAACAAGCAATCAAATAAACAAGCAAACAAACAAACAATCAATCAACTAATCATTAAATAATAAAACACATCATAGCAAGGTTTCATTGAACAAAAACAGCCGACAAAAAAAACTCATATCAGCTATACAACAAAATCAACAGCCGACTAATAAAAAAAATTATATAATCACTAACTACTAAAAAACAACTTAATCATACGAATTCTCCATCCAAGCGTTTGAACAAATAAATAAATAACAAATCAACCAATCATAAGCCACATCAATCATGTAATCAGCCAATCAAATAATGGCAAACCAAATTTAATCATACAACCAATCACAGACCACACTCAACCGTCCAATCAGTCAACCACATTCAATGACACGCACATCCGGCAGCAATCATCTCGTCGTAGAACTTGAGTATGATGACGTCATTCTTGTTGTAGAGCATAGAGAGGCTGTAGAGGGGGGAGGGCACACAGCAGGGACTGCCGGCCCTTAACCGACGGGGCTGAATATTGTCTAATGAAATTTTTACGTCACCGTTAAAATTAACTGTTAATTTCAATTTTTTTATTTGAACGAAGTTTTATTTTTTTCGTTATTTTTATTCAGTTTTTAACTGTTCAAAAGTCATTGATTGGAATATTTTTGTTGTTCATTACTCAATAGAGTAATAGCAACTCATCTGTTGCTATAACTCGCAACTTTAAATGTTTATAATTTCGGGAGTTTGCCTTTCTCGGAAAATGCTGTTACTTTGGTGGCTTCTACATTCTAGCAAGTTTTTTGCCATTTTTGAGTAGAGAAAAAAATAGAGTTGTACAAAAATGTTTACGAAAAATGTTAACAACTACAACAACAACAAAGCAGCAACTGACAAACAACAACAATAAAAACCACAAAGCAGTAACACACAACAACAACAACACAGTAACAAAGCAGCAATCGACAACAGCAACTACTTCAAAAACAACAACAGCAATAAACAACAACAACAGCAACAACAACATCAAATAAACAAACAACAACACCAACCCTACCCGTGCCAAGCGCATGTACAAGGCTCTGGACAGTGGCATGTTTGGTTGGATGGTAGCTGGTGTCCAAGGGAAACGGGCATATACCTTTGCACTGGTATGCATTGTACACTTCAATCCAAATTATTTTAAGTGATTGGTGAATAAATAAATGGATTAATAGATGCATTATTTTGAAAATTAATACCAATCAACGAACTAAATGTAACTACATCGTTGCATTAATAACAATATCAACTCGAGTAACAACAACAAAACAACAACAAAATGACGTTAACAAATCCAAAAGGACATCATCAACAACAACAACAAGGCATCAACAACAATATGTCAGCAAAAACCACAAAATGTCATCAACAAAAACAAAATGATAGCATCATCAACAACAACAAAATGACAACAACAACAACAGCTAGATGGCATCAACTACAAACCAGTTGGCTGTATAACCCAGTCGGACCATCCAATATCTTTAAAATTAACGTGCATATCATACAGTTGGCAATACTTCTTCCTCTCTCTCTCTACAACTTTACGACCGCGTTTGTTGTAATTGATTCTGTTGTTGTCGCTATTGTTGTGGATTTTGTCGCTTTTGTTTATGTTTTTGTTGTAGATTTTGTTGTCTTTGTTGTTGTCTTTCTTGTTGTTATGGATGTTAATGTTTCTGCTGTGGCTGTTTATGTTGTTTTTGCTGTTGTTGTTTCTATTTTTATAGATGTTGTAGTTGTTGTTGTTAGTGTTGTTTTTAATCTTCGGTATGCTCCTATTAGAAGTGGTTTTTTTATTTACATAAATGTTGTAGTTGATTTTGTTGTTGTTGAATTTGTTGTTGTTGTTGATTTTGTTGTTCATGACGTTTGTATTGTTTGGGTTTCGTCGTTTTTGACGAGTCAAATTTTTGTAGTTAGCTGTGTAATAATTTGTGTTGTAGTTGTGGTTATCGTTGTTACTTTTGTCGTACTTATTGTTGTTGTTTGTATTAATGTTGTTGTTAGTAGTGTGTAGGCTATATGCCTTGTTGTTTGTGCTTTTGTTGGAATTAGTGTTTTTATTCGTGTTGTTGTTTTTTGATTTTGTTGTTGTTGTTTTGTTGTTTATGCTGTTTTTAGTTGAATTGTTTTTACTTGTTTTTTTGCGTTTTTTATAGTTATTGTTAACTTCATTATTAAATTGGTTAATGTTGCTGTCGTCGCTATCGTTGTTGTTGTTGTTGTGGTTAATTTTGTTGTTGTAGTTAATTTTGTTGTTGTCGTACATAATATTTTTACTGCTGTCATTCAGCATATAAAAAATGCTGATATTTTGGTCGTTGTGTTGAACGTTTACAAAGTTTAATGTGTTGTTGTTTTTATTGTATATTACATCGTAGCTAAAGTTGCAAGCCATCAGACTATTGTTGTTGCTTTTAATGTTGTTGTTGCTGATGTTGTTGATGTTTTTTAAGATGTAGGCAACATATTCTAGGTAAGTAACGTTTGAACAAAATTTACTGTTATATGTAATAGATCTTTTGTTACGATTTTGTTGTTGTTTTTGTTGTTGTTTTAGTTGTTGTTGCATTTGTATATGTTTAATGTGTTGATGTTGTTGTTGAGATTTTGTTTGCTTTTTTATATAAGTCTGTTGTTGGTTTAGTCGGTGATGTTGGTTTTTTGAATGATTTTGTTTAAGTTGTTGACGATGTTTATGTTGTTTGTTTTGTTGTTGTTTGCGTTGTTGGTGGTATGTTTTCTCCTGCTCCAAATTTTGACGTTGCAAATTTAATTGTTTTTTAATGTTTTTTCGTTGCTGATGTAATTGTTGTTGATGTTGTAGTTGTAATAATTGTTGTTGTTTTTGTTGATGTTGCTGTTGTTGTTGTCTTAACATTTCTAAATCTCTAACAAACTGTTCGTGTTTCGTCGGGCTCATGTATTGTCGTTTTTTACGAAAACGTGGTTGTTGTTTTTGCTGCTGCTGCTTGTGTTGTTGTTTCTGTTGTTGTTGTTGTTTTTTCAAACGTTGTTTTCCATTTTGAACTTGCTTCTGCATTTTCCCTACGTACGGCTTTCCACCTGAAACGTTATCAATTCTTAATCGGTTGTCATCACTAGTTCTCAATGATTAATCTCACATTAAAACTAACATTACAAAAATAACTTTTTTGCCCTATCTTTATTTATTATCTTCAATTATTATTATTTTTATTTAGTTTAATAATTCATAACATAATTTTTTGATAAAATTTTCTAGTAAAGAAACTAGTAGCAGCAGTCGTAGCAGCAGTAGTAGCAGTAGTAGTAGCAGTAGTAGTAGTAACAGTAGTAGTAGTTGTTGTTGTTGTAGCAGTAGTAGTAGTAGCAGCAGTAGTAGTAGCAGCAGCAGTAGTAGTAGCAGTAGTTGAAATAGCAACAACAGCAGTAGTAGTAGCAGTGGTGGTGGTTGTATAATTGTTATTATTATTGTTGTTATTATTGTTATTACGTAGTGATAAATGTGTTTTTATTATTTTTATTACAACCATAACTTGTCGTCACACCGCGTAATAAATCCCAAATTACCTTTTACATATTCATCCGTGTTAGATTTTTTGCCACCAAATTTGCCAACATCATCATCGTCGTCGTCGTCGTTGTAGATGCTGGCCTGATACTGATCATCATCATCACCATCATCATCACCATCATCATCATCATCATCATCATCATCATCATCATCATAATAATGTTTATTATTTATTTCAGTGTAATTATTATTTTTATTAACTTTAACCGCAGTGTCTTTATAATGTTGACTATTAATGTTACTATAATTAGTGTAATAATTATTGTTGTTGTTGTAATTATTGTTATTGTTATTAATATTGATAATATTGTTATTATTGTTGTTGTTGTAATCTTCATAATTATCTTCGTCGTCGTCTTCCACTCCGTACTGTCCATTGAGGAAGTTGTTGTACTGCCTGCGCATGTTCTCCAGGTTTCCATCTCTTGGTGTCGGTGGTACGTAGTTGGCATCCAACCTATCTTCATCGGCGTCTGTTTAAAGAATATTTATTTTAAAATGATTTGAAGTAAATTTTTTTTGTTTTTTTTCCGAAGTTCGAAGTTAGATGGTTTTCAGAGGGATCAACAACATGGAGACACACAGTGCGTGGGAAAGCGTGAATCAACTCATCAAAGACACAGGTCGCATGCGATAGATGAGGATCTCTTTGCGATCGTAACCGGTCATTGCAATAGCAGGACCAAGCGCCTTAATCATAAGCAAAAAAGTTTGCCAACAACTTTATGTAAAACTGCACAGGAAAAAGTTGCCTATTTGAAAAAAATTTTCGTTTTGAGCTTCTAAAAATAGTTAGAGGCCATCTGGCCGCTCTTTAGTTGAGAAAAAGCCTTCACATTCATAAACCAGGCCCTAAACATACTCACATCCATAAGTACGGCCTTAAACATAAATACATCCATGAAATCCGTCTCTGCAAACACACACACGCACGCACACATCATCGTCTGACCTTGATCATCAGATCTTTCTTGACTGTAGATGACAAGTACTGGCTGCTTGCTTCCATGATGATCCTGCCTCTGGGCGAATCTTATCCAGTCGGCATCCAGTTCCTCGCCATGTGGAGTTGTGGCTACCACGTAAAAACCTGGTTGGGTTTAATTTTTATTTTGCTGATTTTCTTTTAAATGTTTTTTATCAACTACTTTATTAATTCGTTTGAAATGTTTTTGAAATTTTAATTTTGTCACGTTCTAAGAATTTAAAGAAAGGGATGAAATAATCATTGTCTGTGTTGTCTTTTATTTAAATTTTTCTGTCTGTCTGTCTGTCTGAATTTAACATTTGCTAAATAATTTGTTGATCCACTCCTTCAATACATCAATTAACGTTGAAGTTTTATCGTGATAAAATGCCACTAAAAATATCGTTATCTTCAGTCAAAAGACATTATTTGATATTTGTAATAAATAAACAATTAAATAATGATGCTAAATCATTTTTATTAGGAAGAACTTTTACTATTAACACTTTTTGCTTAGCTATCTGTAACTTAATTAACCCAGACGTTTATATAAAATATTTGATGTGTAGTAATTCATATATAATGTGCGAATATTATGAACTAGCAGGCACGCACGCTAAAAAACTTACACGTATTTCAATTTATCTGTTTATTTATTTTATATTTATTCATTCATTCGTTCGTTCGTTCGTTCGTTTGTTCATTCATTCATTCGTTTGTTCGCTCGTTCATTCATTCATTCGTTCGTTCGTTCATTCATTCATTCGTTCGTTCGTTCATTCATTCATTCATTCATTCATTCATTCATCCATTCATACATTCATTCATGTATATAAGGTCTACCATGATTGGACGACGGATGGTCAATCCACTTCTTGACAACATCCTTCACCTTGAACGTCTCCCAGCCCGGTTTGAATGACCTCAGAATTGACCTTGTCTCCAGTAAACGTAGATCGATTGGGTTTCTGTTGAAGTTTGGATGTCTTGTAGAGGTCTTCTTGCAAAGAATCTGGTAGAGCTTGAGCTGAAAATGAATAAAAAATAAAATAACAAAGCCACTTTTATAAATTTTATTTTCTAAATTTTTATTTTATTTATAAACATAATTTCATTAAATAATATTGACGCTCATTTTTCATTTGGTAGAAGTGTCAAGTATGGAGGAAATGCAAAAATAACTGGTGCAGTCATCTTGTTCGAAGGCATACTGTTTATTTAAAATGTGCAATGAGTTATTTGTGAAATGTTCAAGTTCGTTGTATGTGTGTGTGTACGTTGTATGCGTGTAAGTTAAATGTTTGCATTGGATGGAACCATGCAGTGATACGTAGCATGGAAAGTGATTTATGATTAATTGATACTAATTAAGAAACTTAAGAGTGGAATGCTAATGATATGTGGCTCAGTGTGCACTCCAATCACATGATGAAATGAAGAAAAATAAATTCTATAAAAATTCTCGCTCGTTTTGTTCCAATACTTCTTGTTTCTCAAATGGCATATGTATTTATTTAATCAGCCAAATTGTAATATTGTTTTAATTTTGTTCTTTTTTTAAAAAATGAAATAATGCAATCGAGTATTTATTTATGAACGTACGTGAATATGACGCGTGGCTCTTCTCCGCTTCATAAAGGCGAAAGATGTTGGTGGTGAAGAAGATGATGATGAAGTTGACGATGGCAGGGTTAGGGTTAGCGAGGAGTTCAAAGATTTTGTCAATGACGAAGATGGTGATGATGATGAAGAAGATTGTAAAGATGATGAAGAAGATTGTAAAGATGATGAAGAAGATTGTAAAGATGATGAAGAAGATTGTAAAGATGATGAAGAAGATGACGACAACAATGACGGTGACGATGACGAAGATGATGACTGCAGTTTCATAGTCGGTCTTAATTTAAACAAATGCAATTCGGATTCGAGAATGTTTTCTTGTTTCTCCTTCAAATGTGACAAGTCGAACAAATAGTTGCTCTGAGAGTTTGAGGCTGTGTGATTATGTTGGTGGATAAATGAATGAATGAACGAACGAAAGAACGAACAAATGAATGAAGGAAGGAAAAAATGAAGGAAGTAATGAAGAGATGAAAATCTGAACAGTTTGGTGAATGAAAGAATAAATGAACAAATGAATTTAAACAAGTTGATGAATGAGAGAGTGAATCAATCAGTGTGAGCCAATTTGTGAATGGAAGAAAAATGAATGAATGAATGAATGAACGAACGAATGAATGAATGAATGAATGATGAACGAACGAACGAACGAACGAACAAACGAACAAACGAACGAACGAATGAATGAATGAATGAATGAATGAATGAATGAATGAATGAATGATGAACGAACGAACGAACGAACGAACGAACGAACGAACGAACGAATGAATGAATGAATGAATGAATAAATGAATGAATGAATGAATGAATGAATGAATGAATGAATGAATGAATGAATGAATGAATGATGAACGAACGAATGAATGAATGTATGTATGAAGAAAAGAATTAATAAATTAAAGATGTAATTATTTAATTAATTAAAAAATGAATGAATGAAGTAATTAACAACAATAACAAAATGAATGAATAAAAAAAAGTATCTAAGAATAAACCAATGAACACAAAAGATCGCGAAACAATCGCAGTGCATAATAAACCATGTTAAATAAGGCAAGTGCTATTAAACCATTTTGAAGTCAACTGTATAAAAAAAATAACACGCGAGATAATATGTAAGATTGGTAAAATAAACAAATGAAAAAAATATTTTAAAAATTCAGAAGTCTCAGATTTATGAGTGAACGAACAGTAAATCACATCTTCTCCTGATGCAAATGCAACCACATTCAGAGATGACTCAAAAAGCGGTCACAAAAAGTTTATGATTTACTCATCCAGCTTTGATTTGTTATTGTCGGATTGTTATTCATTCATTTATTTGTTTATTTATTTGTTCGTTAATTCGTTAATTCGTTCATTCATTTATTTATTTCTTTATTCATTCATTAACTCACTCACTCATTCACTCATTTTTAAATTTATGCGAAGAAAATCAATTTCTATATTATTTTTCTCGGTTATATATACATTTTTCTACATTTTTACTTGTTTGTTTTTCATTTTTGTTCCTAAAATTTTTGTCACAAATTCGTTTTTTTTTTCAAAAATTTAGATTCATCAACGTCCAACAAAAATTTAGACGTTGAAACGAAACACACGAACGCATCACGTACGCAGATTAAAACGCATATAGACGTAGATAAACATAGGCATGCAGACATACTTGCGTGGCGCACACACGCAAACACACACGCACACATACAAAATGCACATAAACAAACATACATCAGTGTAATCGACACACACACACACGCACACACACACACAGACACACACGCATAGAGACAGCACATATACACATGTCAAATTTAATGATATGTGAACGCACGTGTGTCTCAACTTCAATAACATCAATAATAATAACTTTCATAACATTACAATAAATAACAATATCGACGATAGTTACAACGTTAATTATAATAATAATAATAATAATAATAATAATAATAATAATAATAATAATAATAATAATAATAATAATAATAATAAGGTCTGCGGTATTGTTAGACTGAGCCTTAGATGTCTATTGAAATCACTTTCCCCTAACTTTTTACGCGGTATGTCAATAATAATAACAACTGTCAAAATAATAATAATTAATAAGAATAGTATTAATAAATAATAATAATAATAACGAAGAAGTTTGGCAACACTCCGTCAACAACATCATTAATCTCCTCGAAACGAACAACAATGCCATGACAAAACATCAGCAACAATACAACAAACAATATGACGCGACAAAAAAAACAACATTACAACAACAACAACAAAAACACACACAACAACAAAAACAGCAACGCGCAACAACACACAATAACAACGACAACAAAAACAACAACACGCAACAAAAACAACAAAAACAGAAACACGCAACAACAACAACAACAAAAATGTCACCTTTATCAACAAGCCCTCTGACAATATCGGCTTCAAAGGGTGTTGGCGCCTTTGTCACACCATCCTCATAAGCAACATGCTTGTATAACTCAGTCATATATTCAGGAGCAGCCCTATGATTAATAATGTTATTAATATTATTGTTGATGTTAATGTTGTTGTTGTTGTTGTTGTTGTTGTTGTTGTTGTTGTTGTTGTTGTTGATGTAGCTCCTGTCGGTATTGATTCTCATGTCGTCGAATCCAAAAATTTTTGACAGTTTGTTTATCAGCTCGTGTGTTTCGCTGCTGCTCTCTGGAATTATTATTTCGTAATTAAATTTATTACACACATGCACACACACACATTCACATGCATTCACACACACACACACATTCACACACATTCATACACACATTCACACACACGCCAAAATATGCCATAGCGAAATAGGCATCCATAATTAGCACGCTCATACATCTTTATAAATACAACATGAATGTCATGTATGACACCTAAAAAATACAATAATAACATACAAAACCGTGTATTCATGTATAAAATGCAATACAATTATAACATACAAAACTCTGTAATTATACTATTATTATTTGTATTATAAAATACCGAACTATGTAATTATACAACATAATATTATCTACCATTCTTGCATACTACGCAGTACTAAATTTAGCCAGATAAGATGAAAATTAATTAGATCTCATTCGATAGTATCATGATATCCGGAAAAAGATATTAACTTACTTGTAAAGTCGTCATCGTCGTCCTCTTCATCGTCGTTGTCATCATCATCATCATCATCGTCGTCATCATTTATTATAGTAAGTTTATCATCGTTATCGTTATCACTATTACCATCTTCATCGTTGTTGTAGTTGTTGTTGAAATTATTGTCATTATCACCATCATCATCATTATCAACATCGTCGTTAGTAATATCATCATCGTCGTCGTCGGTTACTATATCATGATCGTATCCATCGTATTGATGATGATAACGTTGATAGCCATGATAGCTATGATGACGACGATGATAATTATTATTGTTGTTGTTGTTGTTGTCGGTGAAGGATGACGAGAATAGGTACACTAATAGTAGGAGTTGTACGCCTAGAGACAGATTCATCTTCTTTACTAGCGAGGTCAAATAAAATCAATCAATAAACATTATCAATACTGCATTCGCTAATATATTCATACAAAAACACCTCTACACAGTACAATACAATGTAATTATCAATTATTAATACATTCTTTACTATCTCCATACAAAACTATCTTTATTTTTAATATTATTAATTTTCGTCTAATTCTATGAAACATCAACACACACACACACACACACACACACACACACACACACACACACACACACACACACACACACACATATATACACACACACTCACTAACAGAAATACATACACACAAACAAATACAAACAGACACATATATACACACACACATACACAAACAGACACATATAAACACACACACATATACAAACAGACACATATACACACACACACATATACAAACAGACACATATATACACACACACACACATAGCGCATGTGAGTAAACGCGAAACCACGCACACACGCGTTGCGGGGATTTCTTTTGCAGTCGAAACCCAGGACCAAGAGCAGAGGCCACTTAAAGTTGGAATCCCGTATCAAATTACCATCCGGAAATTCGGACCCCATACTTCTAGGGTTCTGTCTACTTTTAA